GAGGCAGTGGGAGGGGGCAAAGAGCGAGGGGGAACCCCCCCGGGGGTTCTCTACTAAAAATAGAAAGAAATTAATGAGCCAACTAAGAATATATAAAAAAAAATGAGCCGGGCAGGTGGCCCTGACCTGTAGTCCAGCTACTCCGGGAGGCCTGAGGCAGGAGGATCGTCTTGAGCCCAGGAGATGAGGTTGCTGTGAGCGAGGTTGGATGCCACGGCACTCACTCTAGCTGGTCCTGGACTTGGTGATAATGACTAAGATGTTTCTCCATCATCTTAATCAATTATAAATAAGTGTCATCTCATTCACTTCCTTCCAGAGGCCAGAGTGTAAAGGTGAATTTTTACAAGCTTTTCTGCCTTTAGCAATAACAAATAACCTTCTTCTAAGTCCTGGTATACATTTAAGCATCTAAAAAATGCCTAATTGTTTGATGCTTAGAAGTTTCGACTGGCGTAGCTGTACTGTGAATTATTCTCTGTCCATCCTTCCCACCATCCTACAAGAGAAATGACCCTCTGAGGTCCCAGTAAAGCATGGGTTGCCCTGTTAGCATTCTTTTTTCTATTAGCCTTCCTCAAGGGAATTATTAGTGGTGCCCTCATCCCACTCTTAAAAATCTGGTTGACTTTTTGGAAGCATTGGCATGGTCACAGCAAACCATCTGCCACTAGAATCAGCTGGTAAAATACAGAAAAATGCATTATTCTTATGGGAATAAAAGAACACTGACAACATTGGGTGAGTTATATATTCCTAAAACACTGTAAAAAAAAAATAATACAAATCTTTTGTTTTCCAGCTGTCAGTGTTAGCTATAGGAATTAACATCTACAGATCATCCAGTGTGGAGATGCTAGTACAGTTTTTGGACGATCGAAATACCTTCCCCAACTTCGAGCATCTGGCCTACTGGCAAATAGAGTTCAACAACATAGCTGCCGTCACCGTGTTTTTTGTCTGGATTAAGGTAATTTGTACATTTCATGTTCTAGAATTTTAGTGCTATTTCTTTTTTTTTAAATTTTTTTTAAATTTTTTATTTTAGCGTATTATGGAGGTACAAGTATTAAGGTTATATATATTGCCCATGCCTCCCTCCCCGCTCCAGTCAGAGCCTCAAGCGTGTCCATTCCCCAAATGTTGCATATCTTACTCGTTTGGTTGTATACACCCATCCCCTCCTCCCCCAAGAGTCTCGCTTTGTCGCCCAGGCTAGAGTGAGTGCCGTGGCGTCAGCCTCGC